TTACCCCCATACATTTTAAATAGAAACCAATGTATTTCCCACCATTTTGGAAATTGAAGGTGTTCTCTAAAAAAAGTTTCACTGATGTGTATTTTCACAATATGTTGCTTAAAATAGTGCAGTTGTTTCCCCTTATTCAGAGCAAACACATTATTACAAGCTAAATAATTCTAAAGTGAATTAAGGTGCTTACCTTTGAGCCTCGCTCATTAAAAATAATTTCAACATCTAAGATTTTACCAAATTGCTGCAAAGAAATAGAAATATTTTATAAGCAAAGAGAGAAGTAAGTTAAGTTTTATGGTCATTGTTCCTCAAGTTGCACTTTTACTCTTAATATCAAGAATACACTTTTTTTTTTTGTCTTTTTGAGGCAGGGTCTCACTATGCAGTTCAGGCTGTCCTTGAGCTCACTTTGTAGCCCGGGCTGGTCTCGAACTTGCAGTGATCCTCCTGCCTCAGCCTCCCGAGTGCTGGGATTACAGGCATGCACCACCATGCTCGGCTTAAGGATACACATTTTATATTGTTCTATTATTAAATCACCTGCTTGAAACAAGGCAGAATACAGCCACATACATCATTCTTGGATTACGGCATTCCCCACTAGGTGAGATATACTGTCAGGGTCTGGTACAAAATAGCAGTCAAGAGGTTCATCTTGTGTTCCTCTGTTGTGAGTGTGTGTGTATATGATTGCTTTCCTAGGCACTGGGCAGGAGAGATTACAAATGCAGAGTATAGATGATAACTTTTGTAGGCTGTTCCACTAGCACTGAGAGAAACACCCCTGCTGATGTAGGATTTCGGTAGTAAAATGCCCAACTAAAATATGATGTTGAGGGCTTGACTCCTAGTTCACATGAAAGCTGCAAGTAGCCAGATGATATGATGAGACAAGCAAAGTATAAAATGTAAAAATGAGGCACACTGTCCAGGTACCCATTGTACTTAAGACACTCACATAGCTCAGGCTGAAACAGAATCTCCCAAATGATTCTCCATATTGTTAAGCAAATATGTGTGAAACCATTAAAATAAGCAGGCTCTCTCAACAGTCCAGAAACAAAGATATAGATTACAAATAAATTGGACAACAACAACAACAAAAATGCAAATACCCAGTTAAACTTAAATTTCAAACTTTTCCAGATAGGTATATTCCATGAAATACTTAGGAGATATATATAAATATATAATGTTTGTTTCATATATAAAATTCAATTTTGACTATTATTTTTTAAATCAGGTGCCTCTAGTGAAGAATGCAAACAAAGCAATTCTTGATTCAGGCTTAGATAAAGAGAATGTGGAGTCTCAAATGAGAAGCATCAGATAATCCAAACACTTTCCCCTGATTTCGGAGTCCTTTCAGTCTTGTTAGGTCACATGAAGCCGTGTGGGCATTTCACGAGTATGGTCTTCCCTATATAACACGGCTGGAAGACAATGATGTAAAGTCATGCAATGTGGGCCAGGGAAGAATGAGATAGGAATTTGGCCTCATTGCCAAATGAAAGCAAATGTCCACTTTAAAGACTACAATAAAGAAATAGAACAACATAAAGACATATTTCAATCTTCTTCTTTTTTTAATTTTTGGCTTTTCCTATCATCTCATTGCTTGTGCATTTTGCATTTTAATTGCATCCCCCTACTACTCTAGGAGACTTTCTATCTATTTCCACACCCTGGGTGGAAATCATTAAGGACAAGTCTGTATAGAAAAAGACAGGGTGATGGAATAGAGGAGGGGCACTGTAGGAAGAGAACAAAGACAGAACACAGGGAAGCAGGGACAGCCTGCCTGACCAATGAGTGTCACTCTTATAATAGTGGGTCACCCAGATAGCAAATATCAAGACAGTCCCATTAACACTCAGGAAAAAATTTGGAACATACAGGAGATCATTTGCAATATACCAGGGAATCTACCTTCCCTGGAAAGAGAAAACATACATGTATGGCAGTAGCACATAAATAGATCAAAACCTTGAAGTACAAATAACCTTGACTATGAAATAAAGGAACTCTAAGCTTGTCATTCTGTGCCATAAATTATGTTTCTTTGTCAGGATAAATACATACCCTAGCCAGTCAGGAGATCATACCCTTTTTCGTTGAGCATAAGTTCTTGTTTCTTTCATAGAGAAGTGAAAGACCAAGTAAAAACTAAGAAGACCAGGCTCACATTAGAGAAGGTGGAAAGACACGTGTAGTGCTGACACCAAGAAATCTGCAGTGAATCCAGCCAACAGTCTGCGGCCATGCCAATATTCTTTACGTCCAGATAGTATTCTTTTTAAGAGCATTTTCAGGAGTAAGTTTTGGGAGAAGGAAAAAAGTCATTAAAAGTAGGAGGAAAAACCTCTTTCCTATGTGGGAAATGAAGGATTGTTCATTTAAAGGTGAACTGTAGCCAGGTGTCATGGTGTACACCTGTAATCCTAGCACTCTGGGAAGCCAAGGTGGGACGATCACAAGTTTGAGTCATGCCTGGGTAATTGAATGACTTAGCATGTCCCTGTCTCAAAAAACAAAGTCTGGGGATGAAGCTCAGTGTGAAAGCTCTGGCTTCAATCTCCAGTATCTAAATAAATAAATAAATAAATAAATAAATAAATAAATACATGGTGCACTGTGCTCCATAGTAAAGAATCCTTGGGCTTGTGAGCTCTTCGGAAACAGTAATTCTGATAAAATTCTCTTAGAATATTCAGTTCACACAGATGCCATTATATTTATTTCAAGCACAAGAGCCTAGAAGCACATATATTTATAGAAAGAGAAGCCTGAAAAAGACTTCTTCCAAAACCATGAAGCAAATGTCATCTATGGAATATTCTCTAAGCAGTCAACACAAAAACACTTCTTTTAAAATAAGATCTGGCTGAGATAGAACCAATCAAAAAGTAATCTTAGCATGTGTCATTCCCTAAATGAAACAATGACACCATATGCCCTGAAATGGTCTCAAATGTTTGCTTCTTTGGCAGTTGCCTCTAGGTTGATGGTTCCCAAAGCCAGTGAAACGAGCTGTAAGAAGAATGCTGATGTAAGCCCCATTTCCAAGACAGTTGTGTACTATATTTATAGTATCAACAGTTTAATTGGGAAGTTTGGTACTAATGATGTAAACACAGCTGGCACATTTTCAATTTAAATAGACACGACTCCTTCGCAGACATAACTAGCATTTGTTTGCTCCAGAGCAATGTGCATCAGCATCTCAGATGCACACAAGGTGTCTCAATAGCTGTATCAAGAAGAAATTCCAGAAGCTTACAGGCATGCACTTGAGCAAATATGTACCCAGCATTTTTAGACATTTGCAGATCAAATATTTCTCTGAAAAACTGTGAAGGATGTTCAATGGACACAGCATAAAACATGAAAGTAGATGTTAGTTCAAAGAGTGTGCACAGAGGCTAAGAAAAAGCATTATTCCAGTTCTTCTCAGAGTCAGCTTCAGTGTACAAATAGGATGCATTGTGTTATGTCCTGAACATGACTTCACTACTTTTAAACTGAGGTGGGTGGAATTTGGCATTGACATTCAAGGTGCAAGGGAGCCCATCTCTGCCATAGTCATCAATAGTGACCACGAAAGTGTCTTTTGCTTGTGGTAAAGTCATGTGATCAATCTTTGTGTGATAATAAAGAAGACTTGAGTAGATCATTTTCCTAGCAAAAGGCCCTGTATTTTGATAACAAAAGCAAGATTATGATATCAGTGACAGCACTGTGCAAACCACAGACCTAGACTCACTAAACAGCTCTTTCTGGGACTTCTGATGGTAGGTGTGATAGCAGAGGTTTGGATGTAGCATTATCTACTTTTCTCACCTTAAACTCGGAAATGTTTAAACTTTAAATATTAGGTAACATTAAGTACCTATTCAAGAGTAACAGGTTGCAATCGATTTGCTGGACATCTACACATTTCTTTCATGGACTCAAGAAATCAAGAATTAAGAAGAAAGGCAGGCTCATGGAGGACCCTAAGCATGAAGACAGATTTCAAGAGAAATAAAGCCAGGGTTGGGTCCCACTTTTCCAGTGAAACATAGAAAATCAATGCCCTTAATAATACAAGAGATTCATTAATTAACACTAGTGTTTTTAAAAAGCTCTGGCTTCTAATTTGTATCTTGAAGCCACATAACTTCTTGACCAAGAAATATTCTATTTTAAAAGAAAAAATATCTTAACGTGAGCCAGAAGAAATAACACCAAACAATGGAACAAGCGCTTCCAAAGGAGGAAGTAAAGAATATGCAATAAGAAAGGGAACTGGAGTCCAACCTCACAAAATAGGCCATGAAGCCACAATGAAAAATAAAATGGGAGGACACCTGCAGCAACCCTGAAGTAAGTAGCAGTTGCAGCAGGGTGGAAGTATTGCTGGTTTCAGAATTTGTTCTGAACATGGTCAAATTTTAGGCAGTTTGAAGAAAGAGATTACTGTGTGTCTTGTTCTGTTTTTAACTTAGAAATCTTTGTGCCTGTACTTCACAAAGGAGAAAAGTGGGAGAAAAGCATGCAAATCTTTGCAAGTGTTTTTCTCTGTAATTGCCCTCGTTGTTTAATATCTGCCAAAGTAAGGGGCCAAAGACAGAAGACAGCACCCAAAGTAGAGATGTCTCGTGTTCAAAGGATTTGAGAAATACCTAATTGGGATTAAAATGTGGTTTCTTATAGTAAGTGTGGCCTAAAAGAGGAAACTATGTTAATTCCCTACACTCCAGTTTGGAGCGCCAAACAGAATGTACAGATGTCTTTCAATCTGATTCATGCTGCTAAATGCATCACGTAACAAGAATGGTTTTGGGACCACCAACGTTTGGCCAAGAAGAACAGATTTTTAGTGTTAGAATTCCATTTCTTTAGAATGGCAGTTGTAAACAAAGGAGGCCTCAGAATTATTGCAAGGGGTTTATGAATCCATATGTGCCTGATAATTTTTACAGATGAAACTCACAAAAAAACCTCATATACTTTTCAGAATGGACACAGATGCTCTTTGTGATGAGCAGAACTAATTTTAGTGTTAATGAATGTACACCTCATTTTCTTAATTGATAGATACTAAGTGTATATATCATCTTGTCAAATTGACATCTTGTTAAGTTTCTTGAAAATCCTGACTTAAAAAAAAGGGGGCCTCTGAAACCAGTAAATTTTGATCAAGGTTTGGTAACAGATAGTATGACAGTCTGGCAAGCTTTTTTTTCTTGCCATCTGTCCTACTTCTATAAGAACAGAGAAATTTCGGTAGTAATGTGAGCAGGATTCTTAGTTTGTGATTTCTATTTGTGAATGTTTTGAATACCTCCCTGACTTGGTATTACAGCCTTAGGTAAATTTCAAGATAACCAAGAAGACCAAGAGGGGAAACACACCCTTAACTACGGTAGGAATTGTCAGTGCCACAATGCGTGAAACCATGAGAGAGGGCCAGCACGGTCTTTAAGGAGATCAAGTTTAAATCCAAAATCACAGTGACATTTCATGAGTAAAGATGGATTGAAGAGCGAGACATCTTCCAAACCTGATGTGGCAAAGAGAATATAATTCCTCTGGCTGTCCGTCATTCAAACCTGGTCTCACTGCTTTGCACACACTTAACCTCGACTCTAACTTTGAACGCTCTGCACTTTTCAAAGTCATCTTTGACCTGAAAGTGCCCGAGGGTATCTCTGTTCTGCAAGAGTTAGAGGGCTTAACTCAAGGTTATTACCAAATGAGAGAGATAAAAGTGCAAAAGCTGACCTTTTCCTCTGAAATGTCAGGATTCAAGCCTGGGTATCTTAAATATTAGGATGCTTGCTCTGCTTTTGTGTCAGATGCATACCTGATAAGCATCATGTGTGTTAAAGAAATAAAAGGTGTAAGCTAACCACCAAACAGCACAGCCCTTGAATACGAAACCGGAGCTCCCTGCTCAGTTAGAGAGCACTATCAACTTTGTCCACACAAGGCCTACAACAGGGGCATCTTCTTACTTTTTTGTAATATTTGTATCCCTCCATAAGCTCTTAAAAGAAGAGTCACCAAAAAGCCCATCCTTGCTATAAGTTAAGAATGCGGTTCTTTCCACTGACTGTACAGACACTTGCTATCATTGTTAGGATGTCAGGGAGAAATGAACTGACTACATTTCCAAAAACAAATGATATCCAAACTCTGCCCTAGCTTTATCTTTTGGTGGAGCTCAAACCAAAGAAATTGCGAGCTCATCCCTTCCCAAGGTGAATAGTGCAGATATCTTCCAGGAAAAGCATCAGGGTCATAATGGCCTATGAAGAAACAAAACTTTCATTTATTTTCTCTGGACTGATGGTAGTCTATAGTTTGTTCTGTGGTTTAACAGGGTGCCTGAGTCCTTGTGGCCTTTGATATAAAGTCTTCTGTTGGATTTAATATCAAGCAAATATCTTTGAATCCTTGTCACTGATTCTAGGAGAATGAATACTGCAATAATCAAAACAGACTTACAAATTGGTAGTGTTTAGGGGTTTTTTGTTGTTGTTGCTTTAGAAAGAAAACCTAAGCTTTATGTAGACCTAGTCATTCCCTGCAGCTGCATCAGAAATCTCAGTGCACAGTGCCTGGGAAAGAGAGGGGGGGGGCATGCAGGAATATGTCCAAGTCACTGCTCCAGATAAGTTGGCAATTGCAGTAGTGCTCAGAACCATGATGACTCCCAGTGTGTATTTCAGCTATGACTTGAGGTCTCAGGCTACTGGATTTGGAGTCATCAATGGGCTCGTGTCATCAGTGAGTAATATAACAGTTTATTTTTCACTTGACTTTCAAATTTACTTATTAGAAGACAACAATTTGATGAAGCAGAAGCAGCATTTGCAAAGAAATTTATACGACAACTATAAAGGGATCCTAGCACAAGATACTCATGGAGTAGACTCTCCAGTGACTTCCTGCTACACAAACATTTCACTTTGGTCCTGTGAATACCAGCAACTTACATGAGGAGGGAATCTCTGAGGACTCCAGAGGACAAAGGCAGTACTTACACCAAACATTTGTCGTAGGTCGGGATCCCGGAACCGAAAGGGGATATTGGAGACGTGGAGCCTCTTGGGCTGAGACTTGTTTTCCGTGTTTTCAGAAGGTTGTGTCTGGGGCTGGCCATCCGTCGGTGCTGCGTCATCTGTCTGCTAAAGGAACAAGAGAAAGTGGAGAGGCTCTGAGTAGACTCAATTGTATAGTCTTATTGTTCTTTTACTTCCACAGGTAGTAGGAAAATGCCAGAACAAAACAGTATGGGAAAGAACAACCTATTCATTCATTTAGAACATGATTTTGAGCACTCACTGTGCACTTATCATGGATTTTGAATTTGCGAATGATCAAAGCAGGCAAACATTCCTGCCCTCATAGAACATAATTCTAGTGGGGGAAAGATATTATAAAACTTACTAATAAATAAATATAGTGTTGGAGAAAGGAGCTCAGCTTTATGGAGAAAAATAAAAGCCAGGGAAGGTGCTGGGGGTGAGGTGGAAAATGAAATCATCATAAAGAAGGAAGTGATAATCACTAGAAGAAAGTGCTATTTTTTAATCAGTGCTCCTCAGAATCTTAAGATATGCCTACATAATTACTGAGGCTGTACAGATAAAATATTGATAAATGTCAAAAATCTGAAAGGGCACTTTAGCATTCTGAAGTCCAAAGAATCAGCTGATTGCCTTACTTTTTAAAAGTTTTATCTTAATTTCTTAACTGTAAACACTCTGCCTTCTACCACTATAGACCAGATTTAAATATAAGTGAAGTAAAATTAAATAAACTGTAAATGTTTTCATTTGTATAAGCTGAACTTAAAGTATTCAATCACTACATGTAGATCATGCTTGCACATTGGACCACGCAAATATAGCATATTTCCAACTCTGCAGAATGTTCTCCTGAGCTACGTTCTTATAAATGACATGTTAGTTATTAGCATAACTGATTGCTCCTCTCTGCCATCCCCTACTGAAAATAATCCTAGATAAAATGGTATTACACTGATACATATATAAGGCCAGAAAGTATACAAAAAGTCACAGTAAGTAACATCTGATATCACAACAGTATTACCATGGTGAACAAGCTGCAATTCTAGGTACTTTCTCTGCAATTAGTGAATGTTACCTGTAGGTGGCAGGAGATGCCACCCACATTAGATAACTTCTCTGAAAATGAAGTGGAGTGTGTATGACAAAGTCTATCAAATTTAAGAGCAAAGAAATACCCTCACCTGTTTATAAGCAATTTAGAAGCATATAACTGTCACAAAACTATCAATGTATGCAGTCAGGTGTAAAATAATAGTGACTTAGAGAAGAAGGCAATCGGACAGAGTGAAATATAAAAGAAACATTCCAATAACATGGGCATAATTAGAAACTTTCTCATCAACACCAGTATTTACTGCAAGTTGATTTGCATTCTCTTTCCTAACACACACTGAATTGAATTCTGAAATCAGACCTCCTGGTGGCTGGCACACCATTTTTCCGTGCTGACTTGGTATCCAAACCTCACCAGATGACTTGTTCAACTTCCAAGCACACTGTCATGATGACAACTGCCATGTATTCATTTTGCCTATACTGTAGAGTTAGCAGGGAGAAAGATGGTGATATTTTTCTTAACTAGAAAATGATAAATAACAAGAGTGTATATTTTACAAAGTTTTGTGAGGACGGAGTGCAATCATTTAGTGTGCCAACTTGGCAGAGCTCCTGGCATATGGTATATATTCAATAAATGGCAAGTCATTGATTTTTCAGAACGATGGCACTACAAGAAAATGCTACAAGAGAGCAGGAAAGCTCTCCTGGGAGACACAAAGAAATGTTCTCATTTTCTCATCCAACACATTTTTACTGAGCAACTGTTACGTGCTAGACGTAAGTCAGCATTTCCCAGGTGAATAGAAGAGAAAGAGGCAGCAAAGGCAATTATAACACAGGTGGTTCAGGGCTGGGATGAGAGAAAATCACAAAGAGCTGAGAGACCTCAAGTCAGGAGCATACAGCACAACTGAGGTGATGTAAAGTGGGCAATGTCTAAAAAAAGGTGGAGGAGGCTGACACTGTACCAAGTGAGAGCAGAGCATGTGTCAAGATGCAGAGATGTGAAATACTGTTCTATATTTGGGGCAGAATATGTGGACTTGGATGTCACTAATCAGAGACAGTATGCAGGAAAGATAGGAAGGAAAGAAAATCACAGAAGTAAGTGGGGGACCATATCACAAGGGCCTTGTGTGCAAAGTAAGAGCCTCAACATCCTAGAAGCTGTCAGGAGCTATTCAGTGACCATAGCAGGAATGACCAGCTTGTGACATCGGTGACAAATGTCTGCTTAGTGGCTAGCAGATGCCCTGATTGAATGATGGTTGCACATATTAATAATGAATGAATGAACAATCAACTTTGCTGCCTTCAAGTGATAAAGAACAACATTAAAATTTAGACCCAAACAGAGCTGGCACTGAGTTTTCTTTGCCAGTGAAATAAGGTTTGGTTCCGTATCTAAAACACTGAGATGGCCTTGAATCAAGACAATGCTGCTTTTCAGAGGGGTAAGGAGTTTTAGTTCACTACCAGAAGACTCTAAATTGGCAACAGCAAGGGCTAAGACTGGGGTCTTAGCCAGGCTGGTCCATTTCTCTCATTGCAGTTTGGATGCAAAATTACAATGAGCTCCTCCTCATCCCAAGGAGAAGACTTAGATCTGGATTTGTGCACCACTGCTAAATGTTTTAGTTTAATAAACCTAATTAGGAATTACAGAGATTATGATTAAACATATTAAATGATTAATAGCATTATGCTGCTCATGTGAAAATTAAAATTAATCATCTCTAGTCAAACAGGACTTTGGAGAAATCTTTGCATTGTTTCCTTTAATAAAAACATACAACGCTCAATTAATCATTTTGTAGTTTATGTATTTATACAAATGCCCATAAATCGTTATATAGGAATATTTGTGTTAAGACAAACTTTAGCAAAAATGCATAAAATGAAAAACAACTCAAAACTGTTTTAGACATTTGTGGGTAGAAAGGGAGGAGAGGAGTTTTGAGATCTACAGAGTGAAAGAGTATAAATAGGAAAAAGGTCTCCTTCAAAGTGAGCACACCTGGGCACATGGTGCAACATGGCAAAGAGAACCAGGATTGCTGAGTCTCTGATCCTGTGTGTGAGCCTAGCTCCAGCTCCATAAATGCTCATCTTGTGTGTGTGTGTGTGTGTGTGTGTGTGTGTAGGGGGTCATATTATCTCTGTAAGACTCAGCTTACTAACATGTGAAAGGACAATCATGGTACAAACCCTACAGGCCTGTGGTGAGGACCAAATGCAGCAGGAGGGATAGGAGGAACCTGCTGCAGAGCTAGTGTGTTTTGGGTTGGGACAGAAGAGCATGATTATGAATTATTCTTAACATCTAATGTCAGCTTTTTCCATTTTTCTGGGCACTTTCAGGGAAACGTTTGAAGCAAACCTGTGTTTAATGTCTGGTATACCTTGGCTCTGGACTGTCCCCCAGATGCATTGCATTAAGGGTCAGTCCTCAACTCTGGTGCTCTGGAAGATGGTGGAGCCTACAGGAGGTGAGGTCTAGTGGGAGGAAGTTAGGTCATTGGCCATGTGCCAATGAAGGAGATTTGGGATAGCAGCTTTTTTTTTTTTTTTTTTTTAATCTCTCCCCTTTCACGTCCTGGCAGCCATGAGGTGGACAGATCTCTTCTCCCCCACATGTCGCTTATGAGGGACTGTGCAGATAGGAGTCCATAGTAACAAGGCCAAGTGAGCTTGTGCTGAAACCATGAGCCAAACTACCCCTTTCCTTCTTAGGGGTTGAGTATTTCAGGTATTCTGTGCAACCGACAAAGCTGACCAAGGCAGTCTCTGTGTTAATTTTCTGACAAAACAATTTGCCGCCTTAAGCAGGAGAACTCTCTTGTTTCATAGTTGTTCAGACCATAAATTTAATATGAAGGTGCTGCAGGGCCATATGCCCTCTGGAGGCTGTAGGGAAGAAAATTTCCTTGCCTCTTTCAGCTTTTGGTGGCTCTAGGAGTCCTTTGACTCAAGTCATGCGACTCCCATCTCTGTATTCATATGCATGTGGCCAACTTCACAGTATGTCTGGCTCAAGTTTGCCTGCTTTCTTCTTCTTCTAAGGACATGAGCCCACCCTGAACCCAGGATACCTTCTCTAAGACCTTTAACTTAATGATATCTACAAAGACCCTTTTCCCCAAAGAAGCTCATATTCATTCACAATTCATAGAGGTTAGAACATGAATATATTTTTTGAAGGCCATCATTCAACCGACTACAACCCCCACTAAATAATAGAAACCAAAAGTGCACTAGCTCCTGTGACTGTTTCCAAGAAATAGTTGATTTTATTTTTTTAATCATTTCTGGAAGCATGAGGCTCTCCATAACATCCAAAAATTTTTTTTTTTTTTTTTTTTTTTTGGTTTTTCTCCGGTACCGGGAACTGAACTCACGACCTTGCGCTTGCCAGGCAGGCGCTTTGCCGCTGAGCTAAATCCCCAGCCCCTCAAAAATTTTAAAATAAAAGAAAGAGTGCCCCTTCCAGAGCTGGCCCAGGCTATCATTTGTAAAGAAATGCCAATATAATGAGACTCCCCAAAAAGGAGAGATTTGGGTCTTCCCTCCACCCTCCATCAGCTCAGGTTGCCACCTTCCTTTCCATCCTTGGATGCTAGGATGTCCCTCAGCCAAATTGGGAAACCCTTTATCAGCCTCTGCAAAGGTCATCAACTTTCCATGTTTAAATCTGTGTATTCATAAAATAATAAATATACACCAATTTTGGACTCTATAGAGAGGAATGACAACATCAAAACCTTTGTGAATGGGAAGGTCCCATGCATAAAGAAGGGGGATTATACTGATCTTGATATTACTAGCAGTATTAATAGCCATCAGCTTTTGTTCATTGTTTCTCAGGCCCATGTATGTGGACAACCCTGAGATGCAGCCTTTCCCGTCACATAGGAAAGCCCACAGGATACTCCGTGGACAGGAAGGCCATTAACCTCAAGAGCCAAGTTTCCAGGCAGCACTTGGCAGAGTTTCCCACATAAGCTCATTAGGACCACAATGCCAGCTTATGCTGT